GAGGGGGGGGGGGGGCAAACGGCTAGCTGGCCGCGAGGCTTGCGTGTGTATCTGTACTTCCTTCCCCAATTCCCCTCCCTCCTCTCGAATTGTAGCTCGGATATGAATCAATGGAGTAATAGAGAGAGAGATCGCCTAACATGCCCATGCTCCTACACAACACTAACAAATCAATGGCCGGTCCTCCAAGCAAAACTATGGTGGATGGATGGATTGGAGAGTGCCGGTGGCTGATGTACGTTTCGGTTACCTGGAGGTGGCGCCGAGGGTGTGAGAGGTGGGCTTTGTGGAAGTGTAGAGCTGGACGGCGGAGAGGTAGGGGACGAAGTGCTGGGTGGTGGCCACGGCGCGGTCATCGGCGTCCCGGACGGGCACGGCGAGGCCGTAGGCGCTGCTCTCGGCGCAGTGCTCCCACAGGTCGGACAGGGCGAAGTACTCCACCGCGTCCTTGTTCTTGCCATCCGGCTGTTGCCACACGCTGCTGGGCGTGCCCTGGAAGCGTTCCTGCCAAGCAAAGCAGAGACCGAAACTATTTTTCGAAAAGGGGCGCTTTATTACTTAAAAGATTTAAGCATTACACCCGGCCTCTGCATGACTAAGATGCACACAGCCAAATAAGATCCTCTCACACAAAATAAAAAAAGAAAGGCGAATTACAACGAAACATGTAGAGTCCGTATAACGCCTAATATGGAGGGGGGGGCAATCCTTAGATCATGCTGCCACCCAAGTTGGGTAAAAGTATCCCTCGCCGTAGCCTCCAATCGTGTACACACCTCCGTAAACAGGCCTCGATTCTCCACGCGTTGTAGAGAGGACCATAAACGAAGAGTCCCGGTACATCTGTAGATAACCTGCAACAGAGAAGTACTTTTATCGTTAAAAACCTTATCATTTCTACATAGCCAAAGCGACCAAATAATGGCAAGCGCTCCCACCCTGAGAAGAGTTCTAAACCTGTGATCAATCCCATGTAACCAGTTGCCAAATACATTAGCAACACTACAGGGAGGATACAAGCCAGAAGCTATTTGGATGACTGACCATATAGAACGAGCCAATTTGCATTGAAAGAATAAATGTTTTATTGTCTCCTCATGGTGACAAAATACACATTGCGGGCTTCCATGCCAATTCCTCTTAATAAGGTTATCTTTAGTAAGAATGACTCCGCGACGAAGATACCATGCAAATATTTTATTCTTAAGAGGTATCTTCATCTTCCAGATCTTCTTGTTATTAACAACTGGCACATCGGACTGAATTAACGCTCTATACATAGAATCCACTGAGAATTGTCCATTCCCATGGAGGTTCCATCGGAATACATCAGACCCATGTGACAATTGCACCGTGGACAACCGTTGGAGCAGGATATTCCACGATTGGAGTCTGGGTCCAATTAAGTCTCTTCTGAACGTCACATTTGGTGGAAATGATTCCATTACCGTGGCGATAGTATCACCTTTGTGGCGTACAATGTTGTATAGAGCCGGATATTGTTCCCGGAGTGTGGCATTTCCTAGCCACTTGTCCTCCCAGAATATAATTTCCGAGCCGTCCTTAATCAAGAAGGATCCATAGCAGAAGAAATATTTCTTCGTAGCCATTAGACTTGCCCAAAAGTGGGAATCCCCAGGCTTCCAATATACTTGGGATATCGCCTTGGAACCCACATATTTCCTCCTTAGGAGGGTTTGCCATACACCATCTTCCGTTAGTAATTTAAACAACCATTTGCCGAGGAGGGCCCTATTCTTAACCTCAAGGTCATGAATGCCCAACCCGCCTTGGTCTTTGGGACGGCAAACCACACTCCATTTAGCCAGTCGATATTTCTTACTCTCGCTATCTCCTTGCCAAAAGAATCTTGATCGGAAATAATCCAATCTATGTAAGACTCCTTTCGGTAACTGGAAGAAGGAAATCATATATAGTACCATATTACTAAGTACTGAATTTATGAGTACCAATCTTCCACCCAGAGACAGCAGTTTACCTTTCCAACTGCTAAGTCTTTTTTGCAGTCTCTCCTCGACGTGTTTCCATTCAGCATTTGTGAGTCTCCGATAATGTATCGGTATCCCCAAATATGTGATGGGAAACTGACCCAACCCGCATCCGAACAGTTGAGCGTACAGGTGGGCCTCGTCTTGAGCCTCGCCAAAGCAAAACAATTCACTTTTATGAAAATTGATCTTTAGACCCGAGAGTTGCTCGAATGCTGATAAAATTAGTTTCATATTTCTCGCTTTCTCGAGGTCATGATCCATGAAGAGAATCGTATCATCGGCATATTGAAGTATAGAGAGACCACCATCAACTAGATGATTTACTACCCCATCAATTTGGCTATCAACCTTGGCACACTCAATCATGACCACTAGCATATCCGCCACTATATTGAATAGCATGGGCGATACCGAATCACCTTGTCGCAATCCCTTCTTCGTTTGGAAATAGTGTCCAACATCATCATTGACCTTAATGGCAACACTACCTCCAGAAACGAAGCTATGGATCATAGCGCGCCACTCTTCAGAAAATCCTTTCATTCTGAGAGTCTGTTGAAGAAAAGGCCACTTGACTTTGTCATAAGCCTTTTCAAAGTCTATTTTGAGTACCACCCCATTTAACTTTTTCCGGTGTAATTCATGGACTGTTTCATGAAGGACAACAACTCCATCTAGGATGTGTCTGCCTTGCATAAAAGTTGTCTGTGAAGGCCGAACCACATGTTCAGCAACCGAATTTAGCCTAGTAGTCGCAACCTTTGTGAATATTTTAAAACTAACATTAAGGAGGCAAATAGGTCTATATTGTTGTATCCGTTTAGCCTCATTAACCTTAGGTAATAAAATAATCTCACCGAAGTTTAAGCGGAACAATTCTAGTTGGCCAGCATGTAGGTCGGTAAACAAAAGTAGGAGATCCGGTTTGATGACTTCCCAGAATTTCTGATAGAACTCAGCAGGAAAACCATCCGGACCCGGGGCTTTGTTATGCTCCATTAGGAAAACTGCCTTTCTAACTTCCTCCTCAGAGTATGGGGCTGTTAGAAGGTTGTTTTCCTCATCAGAGACCTGAGGGATGTCATCTGTTCGGGTCTCATCCATCGAGAAGTTTCCTTCCTCTGGGGCTTCGAACATATTTTTATAATAATTAGTGATATAAGATTTAAGTTGCTCATGCCCCCCAATCACTCCCTCATCCTGTTGTAGGGAATGAATAATTTTCTTTCGGTGTCTGCCATTGGCGACTCCATGAAAATATCTAGTATTCGAATCACCTTTCAAGATAAATTGCGAGTTAGAATGTTGGTACCATTTGAGTTCCTCTTCACGCAGCATGTTTGCTATCTGTGCATTTGAATGATTCTTGATCTCAATTTCATGCTCAGATAGAGGTCTAACCTCCGCCAAAGCTTCTAATTCATCAATGATAGATGAAAGACGAAGCTTCTCCTTTTTGAGGATACCCACCGTATGCCTGGCCCAACCACCAAGGAATTTACGTAATGCACGCATTTTGTTATTCCATCTGTGTATTGGGGTAGGCCCGGCGACTGGTTTCTCCCACACTTCCTTGACCATGTCATGGAAGCCATCCCGAAGCAACCACCCAAGTTCGAACTTGAACTTGCGTCTATGTTGTGGTCGTGGCAACCCAGTAGTTAGAAGAATGGGTGCGTGGTCTGATAAAGCCTCGATACGAGGTAGAGCACGAACAGAAACCATAGGAAATTTTGATTCCCATTCGGTATCCATTAAAACGCGATCTAGTTTCTCATATGTCGGTTCTGGAAGACTGTTCGCCCATGTGAATTGTCTTCCAATCATAGAAACCTCTCGCAAATCTAGACTGTCGATGACAGCATTGAAAAGGAAAGGCCAATGATTATCGAACCTACCACGGCTTTTCTCATTTGGAAATCGAAGCAAGTTGAAATCCCCACCTATAAGAATGGGATAAGGATTATCTTTCGCCGGATTAACCAATTCACGAAGAAAATCGGCCTTGAACTCATCCTGGGCTGCCCCATACATGGCGACGAGGGTCCATGTGAAGTTGTCGGCCTTGTTGCGAATATGGAGTTTAACATGAAACTCGCCATTCGAACTAGCCAAAACATCCATAGTCCCTGTATTTACGCCAAGTAAAATGCCCCCAGAATGACCTCTAGGTGGTCGCGAAACCCAAGTAAAGTCTATCCCGCCAGAAAGACGGTTAAGCAGACTTACTGAGAAATCACGTCTACCCGTTTCAGAGATAGCCAAAAAATCTAAATTGTATTCCCTATTACATTCTGCAATTAATAAATGTTTAGCCAAGTCACGAAGACCTCTGCTATTAAAAAACATTCCATTCATGAGGAAACAATAGGAGATTTAGAACACTTTGCCCTCTTATGGGACTTACTATCTTTTTTCGAATGTGCGGTCTTTGATTTATGTCTGGATGCTGTAAGCTCAATCAATGAACTAAGCCCGGGTTCATCTAGACCCACGTCCGAAACCTCCCCTACTAAATGAGAGAGTAGCTGACCATCTGGTGTGGCATGCAGCTCTTCCTCATCAGTACAGGAGACATAAGACTTGCTAGAAACACGTGGAGTAACTTTTAATCGGTCATATTCCACATGTTTCAAAGCGTTAGTCGAAATAGAAATATCCTTCTCATTCTTTCCAAGACTGACACCCACTTTATTTAACTTAGAAACGATGGCAGTATTAGAAAAATCTAAAAAGGATTTGGGTGACGACGTAATACCTTGGTTGTCGAGGTTTTGCGCTGCCTTACGCCGCATAGCCTTGGCCAAAGAGTCCTCATCTGTGTCCATAGAACCGTCGTCGGCAACAGAGTGCCGACTACTCCGTCGTGTAGGTGTCATCCCCATTGGAGGTTGTGGCGCCTGCTCTACTGCCGGTGAAGGGGATGATGGTGGAGTAGCAACCCCTGAAGGAAATATGCCCTAGAGGCAATAATAAAGTTATTATTTATTTCCTTACAATCATGATAAATGTTTATTATTCATGCTAGAATTGTATTTTCCGGAAACATAATACATGTGTGAATACATAGACAAACAGAGTGTCACTAGTATGCCTCTACTTGACTAGCTCGTTAATCAAAGATGGTTATGTTTTCTAACCATGAACAATGAGTTGTTATTTGATTAACGAGGTCACATCATTAGTAGAATGATCTGATTGACATGACCCATTCCATTAGCTTAGCACCTGATCGTTTAGTATGTTGCTATTGCTTTCTTCATGACTTATAC